TTGAAGGAACAGCAGGAGGGGATGAGGACAGCTGTCGCGACGTACACATTCATTCCAGCCGCGCACTTGTGTCGGAATGGTGCTCTCGCTGGATAGTTTGTCACTTCCCTATGTGAGGGGTGTGTTGTCGACTTAGCGTAGACTACATCGCTGTTGAGACAGGGTGCTGTCGCCTGAGCGCTTGCCGCATCCTCTATTTGGACTTGTGCCCTCGCGTCGGCGCTGGCCGCGTGTCTTACTGGCATGGTTTTCTCTCGAGCAGTGTATGGTGCCCTCGCCTGAGCGCTAGTCAAATCCAGTGTGCTCTTGTATCCCATCTGGAAGTGATGGCCAGGCGAGCGGCATAGATCAGGGAAGTGTAGGGGCAAGCAGTGGAACCGAGAGGGGGGCGGCCGATTCTCAGCCTGAGCAGACAAGGCACTCTCGGACCTTTCCATCCGGGAGCCTCTTGGCAGCTTACCTGGGGCATAATTGGGGCCCCTTTAGGGCCATTTTGGAGGCCTCTGATATTCCCGGAAAGGGCTTCAGGCCCAGGGTTCTCTTTTAGAGGTTTACCCCCGGATCTGACGGGAAGAGGGCCGGCGGATTTCTTTTGCGATAAATAACGAGTGGGAAGAGGGCCGGCGAATTAAAATTTCAGGATGTCCCTAGCGAAACGCTTGTTTTTCAGAATTTGTTGAAGATGTCTCGAGCGAAACGCTTGTTTTGTGTTATAGATTGTCCTCGCCTGGGGACAAGAATTTAGAGGATCTCTCAAGTGAAATGCTTGGTTTGACGTGCCCAGGTCTTGAGGATGTCTCGAGCGAGACGCTTGGTTTCACGCCTCCAGGTTGCCCAGGCAGAGGTCAAGCGCCAGGATTTGTTGAGGATTTCTCGAGCGAGACGCTTGGTTTCACGCGTCCTCGTCGCCCAGGCGGATGTCTAGAATGAGGAGGTGTTGAGGAAGTCTCGATCGAGATGCTTGTTTGCACGTGTCCAGGTTGCCCAGACGGATGCCTAGCATGAGGATGTGTTGAGAATGTCTCGAGAGATACGCTTGTTTTCACGTGTCCAGGTCGCCCAGGCGGATGTCTAACCTGAAGATGTGTTGAGGATGTCTCGAGCGAGACGTTTGCTTTCACGTGTAAAGGTCGCCAAGGCGGATGTCTAGAATGAGGAGGTGTTGAAAACGTCTCGAGCGAAACGCTTGTTTTCACGTGCCCAGGTCACCCCGGCGGACGTCTCACATGAAGATGTGTTGAGGATGTCTCGAGCGAACTGCTTGTTTTCACGTGTCCAGTTCGCCCAGGCGGATGTCCAGCATGAGAATGTGTTGAGGATGTGTTGAGCGAAACGTTTATTTTCACGTGTCCAGTTCGCTCAGGCGGATGTCTAGAATGAGGATTTTGACAGGATGTCTCGAGCGAAACGCTTGTCCCCAGCACGTTCCGTAGTGCGTCCCCTTGGCACGTCCCGCGGTGCGTCCCCATGGCACGTCCCCTGGCATGTCGCCTGGCGCGTCCCTTGAGACGTTCCGCGGCGCGTCCTCCTGGCAAGTCCCCCTGTCAATTAGCTCTGGGGCAGCTACCATGTGTTCCGGCAGCTCGAGCTTAAGATCCAGATCAGTTCGGTCAGGACTCGGATGCAAAGGAGGACTCGATCCACGACGCTATAGAGCACAACCGCGGCATGGCACATCGCAATTCAGCACGGCGCAGCACAGCATAGACTTCGGCACGGTACATCAAGATCGATACAATCAGCATTGCAACCTGGCACGTTCCTTGGCACGTTCCGTGGGGCGTCCCTTGGCGAGTCCCCCTGGCACGTCGCGTGGCGCGTCCCCTGGCACATTCCGTGGCACATCCATTGGCACGTTCCGTAGCGCGTCCCCTTGGCACGTCCTACGGTGCGACCCCATGGCACGTCCCCTGGCACGTCGCCTGGCGCATCCCTTGGGACGTTTCGCGGCGCGTCCTCCTGGCATGTCCCCTGTCAATTAGCTCTGGGGCAGCTACTATGTGTTCAGGCAGCTCGAGCTTAAGATCCAGATCAGTTCGGTCAGGACTCGGATGCAAAGGAAACTCGATCCACGACGCTATAGAGCACAACCGCGGCATGGCACATCGCAATTCAGCACGGTGCAGCACAGCACAGCCCTCGGCACGGTACATCAAGATCGATACAATCAGCATTGCATTTGCCCGTCACCCAATCAGGTGTCTTTGAAAACGTTGCCATGCGTTACATTTCTATATTCCTTTCCGGGTTCGTGGGTCGATCATGTTTTTTTGTTGGGGCCTTTTTGGGATATTTCGGGTCCTCTTGGAGGCACATTGGAGGTCATCGATGACAGAAAGGCTTGAGGTGCTCTTGGGGGGCCTCTTGGAGACCTCCTGGGCCCCATCTTGGGCCCCTCGTGGGGCTCTCTTGGGCCGTCTGGGGGCCGTCTTGAGGCCTGAGATGCCCACTGGAAGCGAAAAGGCAAGAATGCAACAGTCATCCGTTTTCCATCGGTTATTGGCAGGATTTGGGCATCTTGAGTGCAACTTTGGGAGGCTCCGTGGCCACTCGGAGCCGCCGTCTTGGGGGAGTCTTTGGGTCTCTTGGAAGCATCATGGAAGCCATCTCGAGCCATCTTGGGATATCTTGAGTCGTCTTGGAGGCCTTCTTGAGCTCCCTGAGGCAGTCTTGGAGCCATGTTGGTCCAACAGCCTCCCACGGATGCCCCCCGGGACGCCGCAGTCTTTGCAAAACCAATTGTTCGTCATTGTCCTGCCCTTGAGCAAATGGGGGGATCCCTGGCAGCGCTGCCTCTCTGGAGCCTGACGCGTCGCCGCTTGGGATCCTCTTGGAGCGTTCTCTGGGCGCTTTCGAATTCCGCTTGGACTTCCGCAGGCACGCATCGGAGGGAGGGCGACCCTTGGAGACTGATTATCCTGGCCCGATCAAGCCATTTTCGGCCTCGAGTATGTTCGATGCCGATCATGGCCACGAGGAGAATGACTGCGAGGGTGACGGTGGCGACAGCAATAGCGATGACGATGGCCCCTCTCTAGGGGCTCTTGAGCCATCATGGAACCATCCTGAGGCCTCACAAGTCAATCGGAGACGAGACGGCGAGAAGGCAACGCACACATCTATTTATCACACAGTTTTCGGAATGGGTTTGGCCTCTCGAAGGCGCGATTGGGAGGCTCCGAGGCCACTTGGAGCCGTCTTCGGGCGGTCTGGAGGCATCCTGGATGAATGTTTGAAGCTGGCCACTTCCATCTTGAGCTGGGCACGCCATATTTGAATACTCCTGAGGCAATCTGGGGATATCTTGGGGCCGTGTAGGGCCACATTGGACGCCCTGTCGTGTCGCGACCACCCTCTTTCATACCCGGGGAACGAGGTAGGGGGGAGGGGTCAAACACCTCCCCCTCGAAGGACGGTCGTCGCGCTTACTCCCGCCCGCCTTCCGCCACACAAGTAGTACTCGAGTCTCAGCATGGACGAGGGCTGCCATCGACAGTCCTTGGGAACCCGTGCAGACGCCCGGCAGGTGCACGACGCCCGCGAGGTGCGCCTCGCGCGACACGGCGCCCCCGCCATCCCTGTCAAGGGACATACGACATGATCGCGGGACGCCCGCGCATGTTCCAATACTTGTGCCGCAGCGTGCAGTGTGCGCAGGTTTTTGGCGGGGATGGCACGGTAGGGCCTGCGCACGTGGGGCCACATGCCAACACCCCCCTCGTCCCTGTCAGAGCACACTACAAAGGGTTCGCTTGGCGCCCGAACACGATCCAGATTTTGCCGCAAGGTGTTTTTGTTTGTTTGTTTGTTTGTTTGTAGGTTTTTGGCTCAGTACGGGCCACGCTCAGCTGCTGGCGCGGGGCTGCTCTGGCGGCGGCTGGCCCGCTGAGCCGGCCCTTCTCCTCCCTGCCCCTTCCCCCCTCCCGCTCGCTATCCCCCCCTCCCATGGCGGCAATGCCCTGCACAGCGCGGCTTCGGCCCCGTGCCTGGCGCTTGCACCTTGCCGCCTCGGCGGCCCCGCGGTCCTAGGCGCTGCGCGGCTTCGGCCCGGCCCTGGGCACCGCGGAACGGCAACGCAAAGTGTGCGGCGTCGGCCCAATCCCAGGCGCTTGCCACTGCGGGGCAGACGTCTTCCCTGCAGCACACCGGCACCCTGTCGGTAATGGGCGGCATGCTACTTGCCAGGCCTGGCAGCCGCGCCTCAAACTGCGGCTCTTTTGCCCTGTACGAGGCACCTTGGACAACCACGGCCTAGGCCCTCCTGCATCCTGTTCGGTGGCACAACGTTGCACTCTGGCCCAGCGGTGCTCCTCGTCCTTTCGGGCGTCGCCCTGGATGCGTGACGCGTTGTCATCAGCAGTTGATGGGGCTGGTGTACATGATGCGCCGCTGACGGCACCACCGCCAGCTTTTTGCGTCCCGGTGCTTTGCCTCCGGGTTCTTGTTCAAGGCGTACCGTTGCATGATCTTCGCCTTCGGCGCCGCCTGATCCCAGGGCTTTGCCCTCTTTTGGCCGTGACGTGAGGCCTCTCCTTCTGTTTTCCTCCCTTTGTCAGTTAAAGCTGTGCGCGGCCCGCTTAGCTTCGACCGGAAGAGGCTCGCTCTCGACCCGCGGAACAAAAAATGTTTGTAGGTTTTTGGACACGGATGACGAGGGGCCGTCATGCTTTCGAGTCGACCGCCGGTCGGGCGGGGGAAGGGGTGTGCAATCATAAGGAAGAATGGTAATTCCCTTCCCGAAGGGGAGCAAGCAGTGGGGGTTAAGGAAAACAAGCTCGTTCAATCACCTACGGTCGGATATCTGATGGGATTGGTTGCGCACTGCCTTTCAGACAGGCCGTCTCGTCGCGCTCTTGGGGTAAACAACGGGTGTCTCGAGGCCGTACCGACCTGTGATGCCTCCTGGGGCCCGACGCTGTGCGAAAACGCGGTGTGTGCAATAATCGCAGCGCCCGTATTTCAGGTCTTGCCAGCGTCGCCGCGACGCCTCCCGCCAGGCCCCGGCACACCGTGTGGCTGCCCAGCGCGCGGCCGCGCCCGGGGATGGCGGCCACGCCGCCCCTGGCCAAGTCGGGGCGCCGGGCGCCCCAGCGGCCAGGCAGCGTGCGTGGGTCGCGCGCGCCCGCGCGCGCTCGCGGGGCCGGGGTGCGTGGTGCCACGGGGGAGCTGCGGCGGACAGAAAGCAGAGGAGGCGCAGGAGGACAGGGTCGGAGGAGGAGGAGGAGGAGGAGGAGGAGGAGGAGGAGGAGGAGGAGGAGGAGGAGGAGGAGGAGGAGGAGGAGGAGGAGGAGGAGGAGGAGGAGGAGGAGAGGAGAGGAGGAGGAGGAGGAGGAGGAGGAGGAGGAGGAGGAGGAGGAGGAGGAGGAGGAAGAGGAGGAAGAGGAGGAAAACAATGAGCAGGAGGAAGAGGAGCAGGAGGAGGAGGAGGCGGACTAGGAGCAGTAACATTAGCAGTAGCAGGAGCAGTAGCATGAGCAGGTGGTGGAGCAGAAGCAGGGGCAGGTGCAGGAGCAGGAGCAGTAACAGAGCAGTAGCAGGAGCAGTAGCAGTAGCAGGAGCAGTATCTTTAGCAGTAGCAGGATCAGTAACAGGAGCAGGAGCAGGACCAAAGGCAGAAGCAGTAGCAGTAGCAGTATCACTAACAGTAGCAGTAGCAGTAGCAGCAACAGTTTTAGTAGCAGCAACAGTAGCAGTAACAGAAGCAGTAGCAGTATCAGTAACAGTAGCAGCATCAGTTGTCGTAGTGGTCGTACTAGTCGTACTATTCGCAGTAGTCGTAGTAGTAGTAGTATTATTAGTAGTAGTAGTAGTAGTAGTAGTAGTAGTAGTAGTAGTAGTGGTAGTAGTAGTAGTAGTAGTAAGTAGTAAGTAGTAAGTAGTAGTAAGTAGTAGTAGTAGTAGTAGTAGTAGTAGTAGTAGTAGTAGTAGTAGTAGTAGTAGTAGTAGTTAGTAGTAGTAGTAGTAGTAGTAGTTAGTAGTAAGTATGTTAGTAGTAGTAGTAGTAGTAGTAGTAGTAAGTAGTAGTAGTAGTGGTAGTAGTAGTTGTTGTTGTAGTAGTAGTAGGTAGTAGTTAGTAGTAGTAGTAGTAGCAGCAGTAGTAGTAGTAGTAGTAGTAGTAGTAGTCGTAGTAGTAGTAGTAGTAGTAGTAGTAGTAGTAGTAGTAGTAGTAGTAGTAGTAGTAGTAGTAGTAGTAGTAGTAGTAGTAGTAGTAGTAGTAGTAGTAGTAGTAGTAGTAGTAGTAGTAGTAGTAGTAGTAGTAGTAGTAGTAGTTATAGTAGTAGTAGTATTAGTAGTAGTAGTAGTAGTAGTAGTAGTAGTAGTAGTAGTAGTAGTAGTAGTAGTAGTAGTCGTCGTAGTAGTAGTAGTAGTAGTAGTAGTAGTCGTAGTTATGAGAGTAGTAGTACTAGTAGTAGTAGTAGTAGTAGTAGTAGTAGTAGTAGTAGTAGTAGTAGTAGTAGTAGTAGAGTCGTAGTAGTAGTAGTAGTAGTAGAGTAGTAGTAGTAGTCGTAGTAGTAGTAGTAGTAGTAGTAGTAGTAGTAGTAGTAGTAGTAGTAGTAGTAGTAGTAGTAGTAGTAGTAGTAGTAGTTAGTAGTTAGTAGCTAGTAGTAGTTAGTAGTTCGTAGTTAGTAGTTCGTAGTTCGTAGTTCGTAGTTAGTCGTTAGTAGTAGTAGTAGTAGTAGTAGTAGTAGTAGTAGTAGTAGTAGTAGTCTGTAGATAGTAGTCGTAGTAGTTAGTATAGTAGTAGTAGTAGTAGTAGTAGTAGTAGTAGTAGTAGAGTATTAATAGTCGTTAAGTAATAGTAGTAGTAGTGTAGTAGTAGTAGTAGTAGTGGTGTTGGTGGTAGTAGTAGTAGTAGTAGTAGTAGTTAGTAGTGTAGTAGTAGTAGTAGTAGTAGTAGTGGTAGTACTAGTAGTAGTAGTAGTAGTAGTAGTAGTAGTAGTAGTAGTAGTAGTAGTAGTATTAGTAGTAGTAACAGTAGTGGTAGTAGTAGTATTAATGGTAAGACCAGTACGAACAATACGATCAGTGTGTGTGTATATACATATGTGTATAGTAGCTATATGTAGTACTACTAATAATCGCCATATTATTGAATTTATAGATTAATAATGAGACTGAACGTGCTGTTCATACTGGCCATGATATCTCCTATGATTCATAACAGAAACCATTTTACCAGTATTATAATTCAAACTACCGTTACTCTGAATTTTATTGTTATATAGCTCTGCAACAGGCGTATGTGGTCTGCGTGTGTGTGTGTGTGACCCGCCGCCGTTTCCCTCGCTCAAGTCTTTCAGGGAATGCAGACGTTTCTCGTTGAAGCGGTCCCCGACTTCGTGCGTTCCCTTCAGACAGCAGTGATAGGCCGCGCCGCGGCCGATCCCTGTCCCGCTTGCATCTGCAAGCCGACGCTGAACTGCCCACCCCTCGCCTGCTCCTGCCCTGGCGGCGAGGGGCTCCTGACGGCGGCGCCTGTCTCGTCCGCCTCCTCGTGGTGCTGAGCCCTCGGCTTCGTGCGCGGCTCCGGGGCGGGGCTCCCGGTCTCCGCTGTCTTCGTCCTCCGCGAGGTGCGTCGCAGGAGGGGGCCGTCGGCGCCGTCAGCTCTCGCGAGTGCGCAGGAGGAGGGCGCCTTCCACGGGGGAGGCGACTTCGAGGAGGCGGCGGTGGAGCAGGCCCGTCAGGCTCGGCGGGGGGCATTAGCGTCTCGCTGACGCGATGCCGATGGCGGCTGGCAGCTTCTACCTTGTGCGGTTCAACGTGCCTGGACGTGAGATCTGGCGCGAACGGCTCGTCATCCAGGGGGCGCTCATCATGGCGCCTGATGGCGACGTCTACCACGAGGGCCAGGTGCTCTCCAGGGGCGCCAGGGGCATCAAGCCGCTGAGCGGGCAGGGCGCCGCGAGGCGGCGAGCGTGTACCGCTTCAAGCGGCTCCCACGGCGGTGCAGGTGTGGGGCGCGCTGCGCGAGGCGGCGGCAGGTGGTGGCGCGGCGCTCCCGCGCGAGGACTTCGCGCTGGGGCTCGGCGACGGGAATGTGCTCGGGATGGCGCCTGGGCTGCTCTTCCTGCGCGACCCGCTCGCGGCCCCAGTGCCCGCCGCGGCGGGTCCGATGGTGGCCGCTGCGCCGCCTGCCCTGGGGGCCGCCGCCGCGCCTCTCGCGCCTCCTGACCCCTTGGGGGATGCGCTGGCCACGGTGCTCAAGCCTGGCGCTCCGCCTGGCGCCCGCGCTGAAGGCGCGGCCACGCCGCCCGCGGGGGGGCACCCGAGCAACGACTTCCGCGTCCTGGCGGTGGTGAGGGACTCGCGTTGTCGCCGCGATCGCTCCTTCGGCGACGCGCTCAAGGAGCAGACTGAGTGCGAGCGTGACGACTGGCCCGTGCTTGGGCCTCGGACGTTGCTCTGGGTCTTCCAGTTCATGCTGCGGATGGCTGGAGGTGCCGTCGCGTGGCACACGCGGTGGCTCGCCGTCGTGGGCTTGGCCGAAGGCGACGAGGCGGCGAAGCAGCACGAGACCATCTGCCGCATCCTGGAGACGTCGATGGTGTGCGACCAGCTCGTCATCACCGAGCTGGCCAGCTTCGAGCATCTCGCTCGGCAGCTGCAGTTGATCGAGGAGAGGGTCCACGACGAGAAGTCCCGCAAGGCGGCCGCCGCGCTCAAGGGGCAGGGCAAGAAGGACGCCACACCCCAGGGCGCGCTGTCCACGGAGGTCGGCCACTTCCTGGGGATCGGAGAGACGAAGGGTAACTCGTGCATCTGCCCCGCGTTGATGCAGTTTATCGCAGAGCAGATGCGGGGCGAGGCGGCGATATCGAAGGAACGACGCAAGGCGCGTGAGGAGCGCGCCTTGCGGGCGCCATGACGCTCCCTGAGGGCGCGAGCTGGGAGGGGCCAGCCCCAGGGCTGCCCGGCTCGCCGAGCCCCTGGCCCCTCGGCCGCGCCTTGGCTTGGGCCTCCCACAGGCCCCCCGCCTTCGCCAGCGGGATGCTCTGCTGCTGCCACCCCTCGACGTGAACAACCGTCTTCACGCCGTCCACGGTCGGCGGCCTCGCCAGCGGGCGGCTCGTGGTGCGGCTTGGCGCCGGTGGTGCAACGGGGGTATCGACGCACTCAGCTGGCTCCATGATCGTTCTGCTGCGGGACGTCTTGCAGGTGAGGATGTGGTCCGCTCCCAGGCGCAGCTTGCTGTCGCGGGGGAGCTGCAAGATCATTACCGTCGTTTTGAGTTGCCCCCTGGGTACAGTGAGCAACGCCAGTTTTGTGAAGCATCCCTCGCAGAGGTGCTCTCTACGACCCCAGGCTACCAGAACGCCTCTCGGGTCAGACCCTACGACAAGGCCCTTGTGGCCTGGCCTGCGCTCTCGGGACCTCCCGTCGAGGTCGTTGCGCAGCAGGCCGATGCCGTCCAGTCGCAGGGTTGTAGGCAGAGTATGCTGAGATCCGCAGGCGAGGTCGAGGAGCTTCAGGTGTCGTTAGGCGTTCAGCAACCCTACGTCGACCCTCTGCTTCGCGATCCTCGGAAGTATGCGGAGTTTTTGAACGCGATGCTGCAGCGCCACATGATCGAGTGGACTGTGGCGTCATCTCCTTCTTCTTCCTACTCCGTCGGGATTTCCCTTGTCGAGAAGAGCGGCGGCAAACTGGGGCTAGTCTTCGACGCGAGGGCGGCGAATACTTATTTCAAGTCTTCTCCGAACACCGTGCTGCCGACCCCATCGGCCTGGGCCTCCCTCGAGTCGTCCGACGACTTCTATGTGGCCCAGGGGGGCATCCAGTGCGCCTTCTACCACGTGGCGGTTCCGCCTGACCTGGGGGACTTCTTCCGCCTGCCCACGATCTCCACCCGCTTCGTGGGCCTGAAGACCGTCGGCCCCCTGTGCGTGGGTCGCCGCGCCCTCCTGCAGCCCGTTGTGCGTGTGATGCCCATGGGCTGGAACTGGGCGCTCTACTTCTGCCAGTCGGCTCTGGTACGTGGTATGATCGACGCGGGGATCCAGCCGAACCGCCATCTCGCCGATGGAGCCGCGCCCGCCCCGCTCGTCAGCAAGAGCGACCTGGTGGCTGCGGGGTGCGTTGACAACTTCCGTGCGGTGT